TAATTATATAAATTAATTAACTTTATATTATTATTAATAATATAAATTATTAATAAATATGTATATTAAAAATATTTTTCATAGTATTATAATGATATAATTAAGTCAAAAACTATTCAATATTGGTCTCATTTTGAAGGTATTAACGAGACGATTATAATGGTGTAACTTGTTAAAATAAAAATGTATTTTATAAATATGTTTTAATTAATATATGATTATATGTGTTAACTTGATAAAGGTGTAAAATGAAAAATTTAAAAGGAAATGATGTAAAGTAAATTAATTAACTAATTACAGGGGTATAAAGTGTAAATTTAAAATTAAAGTTTTAAAAAATTTGGTGAATGTGAGAGTGTGAGTGAGGGAAAGATGTGAGGGGGAGGGGGTGAGAAGTGACGTAAGGAGGTGGGGATATCAACCGTAACAACCCACATATTCTATGTACAGATAATCCACATCATCATACTCATAACATAAAATATAACATCGTTTACAAAATACATATTAACAAAAACTTTCTTAAAATACATTTTGAATAACTAAACGTCATTCATTCTAAACTTTTCCCTTGCCTTTATCTTGCGAGGTATGATGACTTGCAAAACAGGTTAGTCCAACAACTGAGCGTTAGACCAAAAAGGTCTAGTGAGTGTATTATTCTCAAACAAACAACATACTGTCCAAACAATCAGTTCAGAATCAAACCTGTTTTGATACATAAACCTATTTATGTCTCTCGCGGTTACACCGGCATTATATCTCTCTCTCGCGATTACACCGCCATTATATCCCTCTCGCGGTTATACCGTCATTTCATCTCTCTCGCGGTTATACCGCCATTTCATCTCTCTTGCGGTTACACTGCTATTTCATCTCTCTCACGGTTACAGCGCCATTTCATCTCAAAATACTTCAACACATTAACCGGATTTGTAGTCCGGTCAATCTTGTCCGGATATGATATCCGGACAAACACTTGGGATATCAATATGGTATGCCTTGAACGATTTATCATCCGGATATTTAATCCGGACAACACTGTCCCTTTAAGCGGTTTAGTTTAATCC